TGTTGTTGGGTTATTATTGTGGGCAAGTTATGGTGGAGTGGGCTGCCATTTTGGAGGGTATTGGGTGGGTTGATTCGGCCAGACAAGGGGTAGAAGGGGTGAGTGGGTTGGCTATTTTGGAGGGATGTAATAGGTAGTTTATGGGGAGCAAAGGTGAGTTGGGTGGCTGCCAAGGTGGGGCCAATATGTTTTGTTTGTTTGCAGCTTGTTTCCTTACACATAATGGAGAGTATAATGGGGAACAATTGTGGGGGCTGTGACATGGATTGTGGGCAGGGATTCTTGGCCAAGGGTGAAGGGGAAGGGGAAGGGAATAATGTGATTTTGGATTTATGGGTTTGGGATATTGTAAGGGGAATATGGGCAGGATATATGGCTGGTTGTGGGTCATGGTTTTTGGCTCTTTGTTGATGTTGTGTTGGGATTGTGAGGGATATTTGGCCAGGGATTTAGAGGAAGGGAGAGAAGGTTTTATTTGTTTATTAAAAGGTTTAAAAGAAGGAAAATAACAATAAACAAAAGGTTGTATTTTACACACTCTTATTTTTGGCCCTAGGCTAAAATAAGAGTAGGAAAAACTTTATTTTGGATATCAAAAGGAAATAAAATACTTTTGGATATTTGGGAGGGGTTGGGATTTTGGTGGAGATATCCAGGGGTATAACAGGAAGCTTCCTCATGTTCACATTCATTGTGTGTATTATTTTCCCCTTCCCCTCTCCCTATATAATGTAGCCTTAACTCGGACACCACACCCTTCTCTCTTAACTCGGACACCATATTTCACCCAAAACCACCCATCATTTCTTACCATTCTAGCTACTACCCAATTCTCTTCCTATTCTTTCACACCCTTCAAGATGTCAAACACCTCTTTAATCATCACCAATGAAGAGCCCTGGGCCTCGAATAAAGAACTCAAGACCCAAGTGGAGTACTTGGCTAAGCAGATTGCTCAACTCACCAAATTCAAAATGAATATGATGAATACCCCCGGTTCATCCCTAACATTTGGTATCGGAGCTCAGCTTCGACGACTTTCTTAAGTCTCGACGACTACCCAGAGGACCGGCGACGCAAACGTTGCACTAGCAAAGTTTCTGAAATATTTCCAGAAACTTTTTGCTCCAAAGATTTGATCACAGAGGAAGGTACACAATTGATTTTAAGGTAAAACTTTCTATCTTGGGAGTGTTCTCTTTTATCTACGTCTGGCCGCTAATTTCTTTCAATTCTGACTTACGGTTTGGGAGATAAGTCCATTCGAAGTCAAAGACGCGATTCTGCCAACAGTTTGGCTACCTTACTCATTTGACCTCCAACGAAGCACCAAATGATTTTCAATGCTTTCAAATTTTTGATATGTTTTAAGGATTTTAATATCTAACTCCGAGAGTTGGAATTACATCATTCTGATCTCTGGTTGGTGAGATATGGATGTTCAAAGATACCTCAAAAATCTAGAGATCATCTACGCCAATGAGGCTATCTTGCAAGGGCCAACTCAACGGTGCTACAAGTGTAACACTCTAACTTGAACAGTCTCGTGGACTATTCCAAATTAGAGAGTTAAGAGAAAATATACTAATTTCTTATAAAAAACATCATATAAATGTTTATTAAAAACAGCGGAAACGAGTTTAATACACAATATGTTTGTGAACATAACGTCATAAAATAAAGTACAAACTTTTTATTCAAGCAAATAAATAAACACATAACCGTATTCGGATCTTACTTGCTATCGCAGCATACCATGATTACGAAATCTGGCAGATGGACGTCAAAACGGCTTTCCTTAATGGAAACCTCCTTGAGGATGTCTTTATGACACAACCTCAAGGGTTTTGCGCTCCTGAAGAATCTACCAAGGTATGCAAGTTGCAGCGATCAATCTACGGATTGAAGCAAGCCTCACGGAGTTGGAACATCCGCTTTCACGAAACTGTCATCGGCTTTGGTTTTGAAAGAAATTCGGATGAATCTTGTGTATACAAGAAGGTCAGTGGGGGTGCTGTAGTCTTCCTTGCTCTGTATGTTGATGACATACTGCTCATAGGAAACGATATTCCTACTTTGACCACCGTCAAAACGTGGTTGAGTAAGAGTTTCTCTATGAAGGACTTGGGAGATGCCAGTTATGCACTTGGCATAAGGATCTATAGAGATAGATCACGGAAGCTGTTAGGTCTTAGTCAAAGTACATACATAGACAAGGTCCTTGCTAGATTCAGCATGTCTGAGTCGAAACGAGGAAATTTGCCTATGGCCCAAGGCACGAGTCTTTCCAAGACTCAGGGTGCTTCCACTCCGGAGGAAGTAGAACGCATGAGAAATGTTCCTTATGCGTCGGCCATTGGATCCATCATGTATGCGATGGTATGTACGAGACCTGATGTCGCCTTTGCTCTGAGTGTCACGAGTAGATACCAGTCCAACCCTGGCGAAAGCCATTGGACGGCTGTGAAGAACATCCTTAAATACTTCCGTAGGACTAAGGATGCCTTCCTGGTATATGGCGGAAAAGAAGAGCTCAGTATTGTTGGATATACTGATGCCAGCTTCCAAACTGATAGAGATGACTTCAAGTCGCAGGCAGGGTATGTGTTTTGTTTGAATGGCGGAGCTGTTACCTGGAAGAGTTACAAGCAAGATACTACCGCTGATTCCACTACAGAAGCAGAGTACATGGCTGCAGCCGAGGCAGCCAAGGAAGGTGTGTGGCTCAAGAATTTTATTACTGAGCTTGGAGTGGTTCCTAGCATCAAGAACCCTATACCGTTGTTTTGCGACAACAATGGGGCAATTGCACAAGCGAAAGAACCTCGGTCTCACCAGAAGACCAAACACATCGTTAGACGTTATCACATCATACGAGAAATCGTTGCACGTGGGGACGTTGAGATTTGCAAGATAGGTACAGA